ATAGTATGGCATAAAAATGTCAAAAAACGTGATAGAATAGTATGGGGCAAAAATTTCAAAAAGCGTCATAGTATAGTATGGAATAAAAATGTCAAAAAAGATCATAGTATAGTATGGCATAAAAATGTCAAAAGTCGTCATAGTATAGTGTGGCATAAAAATGTCAAAAAACATCATAGGATAGTGTGGCATAAAAATGTCAAAAAATATCATAGTATAGTATGGCTTAAAAATGTCAAAAAACATCATAGTATAGTATGGCATAAAAATGTCAAAAAATGTCATAGTATAGTATGGCATAAAAATGTCAAAAAATATCATAGTATAGTATGGCTTAAAAATGTCAAAAAACATCATAGTATAGTATGCCTTAAAATGTCAATGTAATTCTTAATTCTTTGGATTGTGGAAGGTAGCCAGAAAAGCCACAAGCAGAGGAAAAACATGCATGTCTCAACACAGAAAAACCCCCATGACCAGGATTTGAACCCACAGCCTTACTTGCCTGAGGCAAGAGGAAGTGTAATCGATAAAATAATCAAATAGGGTATGAAAGTGTCATAGTATAGTATGGCATAAAAATATTTAAAAAACGGCATAGTATATTATGGGGCAAAAATTTCAAAAAATGTCATAGTATAGCATGGCATAAAAACGTCAAAAAACGTCATAGTATAGTATGGCATAAAAATGTCAAAAAACGTCATAGTATAGTATGGCATAAAAATGTCAAAAGTCCTCATAGTATAGTGCGGCATAAAAATGTCAAAAAACATCATAGTATAGTGTGGTATAAAAATGTCAAAAAATTTCATATTATAGTATGGCATAAAAATATAAAAAAAACATCATAGTATATTATGGCGTAAAAATATCAAGAAACGTCATAGTATAGTATGGCATAAAAATGTCAAAAAACATCATAGTATAGTATGACATAAAAATATCCAAAAATATCATAGTATAGTATGGCATAAAATTGTCAAAAAACATCATAGTATAGTATGTCATAAACATGCCCAAAACGGTCATAGTATAGTATGGCATAAAAATATCAAAAAACGTAATAGTATATTATGGCATAACAATGTCAAAAAATATCATAGTATAGTATAGCGTAAAAATATCAAAAAAACATCATAGTATAGTATGGTATAAAAATGTCAAAAAACATCATAGTATAGTAGGGCATAAAAATGTCAAAAAATGTCATTCTATACTGAGGCATTAAAATGTAAAAAAAAAGGCATTGTATAGTAAGACATAAAAATGTCAAAAAAAGTCATAGTATAGTGAGGCATAAAAATGTAAAAAAAATGTCATAGTATAGTGAGGCATAGAAATGTCAAAAAACACCATAGTATAGTAAGGCATAAAAAGTCATAGTATTGTACAGCTAGATAATGTAATAGTTTAGGATGTCAAAAATAAAAATGTTTAGTATGTAAAAAAATGATGCAGTAAAGTAAGGCATAATAATTTCAAAAAACGTCATAGTATAGGAGGACATAAAAATGTCATAAAACAGCTAGATAATGTCAAAAAATGTCACAAAATGATAAGATTTAAAAATGTCCTAGTATAGTAAGGCATAATAAAATCAAAAAACATCATAGTATAGTAAGACATGAAAAGTCAAAAAACGTCATAGAATAGTAATGGCATCAAAATGTAAAAAAAACGTCATATTATAGTAGGGCATAAAAATGTCAAAAAATGTCATTCTATACTGAGGCATAATAATGTAAAAAAAAAAGTAATTGTATAGTAAGACACAAAAATGTCAAAAAACATCATAATACTATGGCATAAAAAATCGTAACAGTACAGCTAGATATTTGAGTACTTCGAAAAAATGTCACAATATAATAAGATCAAAAAACATCATAGTATACTAAAGCGTAAAAATGTCAAAAAAACATAGAATAGTAATGGCTTCAAAAGTTATAATATAATAAGGCATAAAAATGTCAAAAAACGTTATACTTTACTAAGGCATAAAAACGTTAAAAAATGTCATAGTATAGAAAGGCATGAAAATGTCAAATACGTCATAGTATACACAGGCATAATATTATCAAATACATCATATTATGGTATGGCATTAAAATATCAAAAATTGTCATAGTATAGTATAGCATAAAAAGTTGTAGCATAGAACAGTTAGATAGTGTCATAGTTTAGTACGTCAAAAAACATGACATTATAGTAAGGCTTAAAAATGTAAAAAAAAACACCATAGTATAGTAATAGCATAAGAAGTCATAGTGTATTCAGCATAAAAATATCATAATCAATTGGACATCTTTGGATTACTGGCGATAGCCAGAGAATACCCATGTATTCATAGGGAAAACATGCAAACTCAACACCTAAAGGGCCCCCTGCCCGGGCTTCGAACCCACAACCTTTTACAATTTGAGAGAGTTTGAACCACTGTACTACCGTATAAACCCAACACGAAGACACATAAATTTAAGGTCTAAAAACATCTTAACATAGTTAGGCATAAAGACGTTAGACTAAAGTATGGCATAATAATGTCAAAGAAAGTCATAGTATAGTATGGCATAAAAAGTCGAAGCATAGTACAGCTAGATAATGTCATAGTTTCCTATGTCCAAAAAATGCGACAGTGTAGTAAAGCATAATAATATCATTGTAGTACAGTAAGGCATAAAAACCCATAGTATAGTAATGCATAAAAAAGTAATAGTATAGTAAGGCATAAAAAAGTAAAAGTATAGTAAGGCATAAAAACGTCAAATGCTAGCATGCCTAAATCCATTGTCTTGGAGACATAGCCTCTTTGACGGCACATTCGAATGATCTAATATGACTGCACTCCAAACATAGTGCGAACAAGTTCAATCCAATATTGGTAGGGACAATTCTGTCCTCCCAAAATATTGATAGGGAAATGTCCCTACCATTCATATGCACACCTACACCCTTGGTGATAAACATGTGAGACCACCCACACAGAGTTCTTAAATAATACAAAATGTTTTAATTAAAAATAAAATGTAACAAATAAGTTATGTGACCATGTCAGAAGTGTAAGCAGTGACTGTATGAAACACAGATCACAAACAAAGGGCAATGTCCGATGGCAGACCAGGGGAAGCGAGTGAGAGAATTTATTGTTTGATTTATAATATTGACTCATGAGCCCGGTGTGCTGCATCTCTGCCAAGGTCTCATTTCCACCCTGAGACTTCATGGAGCAAAAGGCAAGGCACTTACTTGTTGATGTGCTCAGTGAGTTACTCTCCAGACTTGCCACCTCTTTAATGCAGAAGATTGTAACTTCTGCTCCAGCAGTAGCAAAATTAGGTTTTAACTGTGGTAACAGTAGGCATCTCTAATGTTTCCGCCATGACAGTTGCAGGGATCCTGACTGTTTTTGTCATTGTGCTGGTAGCAATTTGTTTTTACATGGCAGAAGCTAGAACAGGAATCTTGAGTGTTTTTGCCACAGGGTCAGAAGTACTTTTCACTGCTTTTGCTGCCACAGTGGTGAGATACTTGCCAATAATGGTCAAATTTGTGAGCTGCTTACTTTTTTATGTCCTTCACTGGGCACTTGTTTTCCTGCTGAGTCACCTTCTTGATGCCATGATGATTTTTTTTTTTTTTTGACAAACAGCCATGAAAAGTGACCCTGTGTAGAACTGCTTTGGCTTCTGACTGTTCCCATAATGTCAATAATGTTCATGTTCACCTTATTAAGCTGTGTCAGTCTTCACTACTTAGGAACACTTTATATTCCACTCATGCCTCTTTATATGGTCTTCGATGGTTATCTAAGAATGTGATGCATCACATGGCGGCCTAAAAATACACAGGTGGCCACACCGCAAGAATGTCAATGGAATTTGCATGGTCAGGTGTTGCTGTGCGGGTCAGGTGAAGTGGAAAATTACTTGTAGGTGTGAATATGTTCAGATGATGTTTCACAGAGCACAGATGTTATAACTTAAGGTTGGAGCAAAGGGTGGTTTAAAAAATAGATTACCAACTGGGCAATGACCCCAGACCCTCAAAAGAAAAGATTCACCATGTGGAAAATTTATGGAAATTTCATAAATTTAACATTTTTGACAATAATACCACGCAGCACTAAAGCTCACTTTAGGTGAAATGCAAAGGGCCTGAAGGCTTGCACTTGTATTATTATCTAATCTTGAGGCCCTATCTTATTATTATTATTATATTATTATCTTATTTTAATCATTTAAGTTCAAAACTTCAAAACAAGGCACTTACACTTGTTCACAGGGCAACAGACACAATCTGAGTGACTGAATTTGAATCTAAGACGGACAAGCATACAAGTTATGTCAAAAATGTATTTCATTCCAGTAGTGCACAATCTGTCAAGTTTTCATTCTTTTCTACACAGCTCATCGGTCCATTCTGTCTGCTCTATCCATCCATCAAGCCAGACATACAGCTTCCCATCCATGCAATGAACTTGGTATTTTGATGTCTTTCTCTTTTAGGATTTTCTTTGTCAGGGCAGTGTCTTGTGTCCAATGATTTTGTGTTTATTGATTTTGAATTAGTTCATTATTTAAATTGACCATGATCAGTTGTTTCACTCATATTGTGCTTTCATTCACCATGGCACATATTAGGGCAGTATAGCAACATAGCAAATATTTACAATTTTCATGAATATACAAAGTTATAAAACTGCTTTTTATGCATGTTCCTTGTATACACAGAGGATTTTCATTATAGGCATCTTCATATGTCGCACAAAAATGTGAGGAAAAACAGTTTAAAGATAATATAACTTTATTATTTAATTTTAGTTACATATGATCAAAGAATTTGTTAACTATTCTATACTGAAACTATAATACGTCAATAATACAACAAGCAGATTGTCACATACCATCACATATAGTGTACTGGAGGTAACATTCACTACAGCAAATAAACCATTGCTGACAATATCATCATAGTTCCTATAGCTAGTCAAACAGTCCATCTCAAGAACAAGTCATTTATGCAAAATAAAGTAGAATCATTTGTACATACAACTTACAAAGACCTATACATAATTTGACAGACATAACTTTGATATAGAATCTAAAAACTGCCTCATTTGGCAGCACAAATAACTTTGATTCCTATATGCCTTTTATACACAACACAATAAATTGTGCTCCAACAGACTCTTTAGAAGAAATAAAATAGCAAGCATTATCAAAGACAATACTCAACAATTAAAAGGTACATTACATGAAAGAATTCATAGCTTTGTATAGTCCTTCAAAAAGAGGAATTTACTCACTGATGTCAACAGTGATGCATTTCCAAACTCATGAAAATAACTCTCAGTTCTTCTGCACATTATAATTATCTTGCACAGCATAAACAGATTGTCATTGACATTTTCCAGTTATTAAGCATCTGCAGATTATATTTAGTTTCTTCCGAAATAGAAAGTAAATGCAGGTTAAAATTTTCTTTTAAGAGTAAAACTTTTTATTCAGAATTATTTCTCCATTAATGAGATATCTGGTCCCCATTTTGTGTAGTGTCGTCATAACCTTGAACTTCCAATGATAGAAAAAAGTGCCAGACAAATGTAATAGGTGTGCATGTCATAAATATTGTTCCTCTTTTGCAGAAGTATCCTTTTTGAGGGTGGCTCCTTCTTTGATTAAGTGTGTTTCACAGCTGTATCAAGTTCAAAGTGATATGAGGGGGTTGATCTCCTGATGTGTGGCTCTAACTTTGCTCCACGGAGAAGTTCGACTCAGATCTGTTGCACGAAAAGAGGAAAATGACAGTTAATGAGAAATGAATGAGAGGGAAGAATAAATGAGGATGTGTGTGAGTGTGAGTGACCTTACATGTCTTGGTGCTTGTGGATCATGTGGTTGTTGTACTCCAACACAGGAGGGATGGTCTCCTCATCCTCAGGAACCTGAAACCAACACATGGGGATCAGGTCAAGCCAGAAGCTCACTGACTTCTGAGCGATTTCAGAGTGCAATATTTTTACTTGAAACAACAGAATATGTTTCCTTTCAAGTTAAAGGGAAAGAACACCGTCTAAAAGCTCTCTCACCTCCCAGTAAACTTCATCATCAAAGCAGTTGTCATCAGCGGGGTCGCCCCAGATAGGGAACCTCAGGATTAAACCTTTGAGGAGAGAAACAGGCATTAAGCAACATTAGTCTCAATTTCAATACCTCCTTCTTGATGTATGATGTAACTGTTCTCTTTTAAACTATTTTTTATGTCTCCGCCATGACTCAGGAATTCATATGCTAATTAAGACTAGTAGGAAAAATGATGAAGTGATGACATTTTATATTCAAATGGCCATTATTCAATGCTGTTACTCAGGACGGGGAGATTTTGACTACTTTCCCTGCAACTCGGCAGCTTTTTGGCTTAGTTTTTTTTTTTTTTTTTTTTTTGACACTGTTTTTTGTGACATTGATTCTTATGTTATGTTTTTTCTTATTTAATATTATCAAAATATTATAATATTTTGGTAGGAGACATTTCCTTTCAACAGAAATAAAACTAGAAATAAAAATGATCATGTCTCTGGATCACTTTACAATAATCCCTGGA